ATGAATATAATAACATATGGCTATCGACAATCTTCGCAAAAATAACAGTTGAGTAGGAAGGCAAAACCGGAATTAAACCCCTACAGAAGTGTGCAGCACTACCCAATCAAAATGTGCTATGACGCACGAATGACCGAAAACGGACATCCATACCCACGCATTGACATACTGACAAAACAACTAACAAGACTAGATGCGGCTCCAATCCCCATGCTTGTTCCAGATGATAACAACCCCTCCTCCTTCCCCCTGTATAAAATATTTGTGTATCATATATTTAATCTAATATATAAAACACAAAACAAAAATTATAAATATTAAGAAATAAACTACGTATTAATCGTCTGACGCACCTAATATAATCTTTGATTTCATGTAGAATGTATCGCCTCCCGCCCTTCCACGTAAGCCTTTCCTGTCCTTCCGAGTTTAACCTTCGTATCGCTAATTCTGCTCTGTATGTATCTTTGATTTCCTCTGTATCGCTAATTCTGCTCTTTACGTATCTTTGATTTCCTCTGTATCGCAAATTCTGCTCTTTAAGTATCTTTGATTTCCTTCGTATTAATCGCTAATTTTGCTCTTTACGTATCTTTGATTTCCGTCATATCGCTAATTCTGCTTTTTATCCCAATTACAATTTAGAGTACGCACGACCTCCATAAGAACCACATACAAGCACAACAATCACTCACCGACACGATTTCTATAACTACATAGGTAATATAAAAAAAATACCCTGAACATGCATGATTTGGATACACATGCATCACCCTCCTAAATAACTACCTTGATGTGAGCATATGCGAGCTTGTTAGTACTGTCAACCTGACAAACTTAAATAAACTTGAAAATTGTCCAATGCGCGCGGCTTCTATTAATTTTTCCTTATGGTTAAATCACCATTCCTTGATAAATAATAATATCATAACAATCCTGGAATAAAGGGCACTTTACTCTGCTCAAAGAGAAATCATGCACCCATGACTTTACTGAACACCGCAGTAATACACCTTACTTCCACAACAATTTCTCAATTTTCCCTTGCTGAAAAAGAAAGATCACGACTGACAGAAAGCAATACAAGCGACTCCTGAACTGACCTTTAACATAAAAAAGTTGATAGGAAACAGCTACAAGCTCGCCCCTCGGACAAAAACAAAAAAACACGGATAGTGCGTTTAAAAACAAAAAAACATGCCACACACGTGATCACCCAAGTAACCCACGCACATGCAAATGAAATCGGAATGAACAATTGAATACCCCCCCTCCAAAAATTATTTCCTTGACTTGCATACCAAAACCAAATCATCCCTCTCGATAACCCCTCTTGAGAAAGTATCTTCGCATGTATCTGATCCAGCGCACGGACTTCTCAGAACCTTTCGTAAACAAACCATGTTTGACACCCTAACCCGCTCCATTACCAATGCATCTTCCCTTGCCTGGTGACTACCCTTATAGAAGCTCCCGACAGACATAATCGCACCAAACGGCAATGCTGAAATGAAGCTCACATCTTATAGACGGATAATTTCCATCAACTACAATCACCCTCACCACAAGTAACTATCCGCTATACGCAGCACGCCACACATAAGGCTACGCTCACGCAACGACGCCTCGAGTGTTGCCTCCCACTCAACAAAATAGATCTGCTTATCTCCATGTTCTTGCAGCAGATCACTTGTCACCAGCTCCACCAACGCAGCCAACACATTTACCCCTCCACTGGGTACCTCATCCGGAACTACATCGGATGCCTTGGTCACGAAAACTGTCACTTCACATAGTAACCCATCCATGTAACCCAAACCCACGTACAACTTTAAAGCCAATTGCCCATCTGCCGTTATGCGATAGTGACGAACAGACTCGTTAGTAACCCGCAAACAGAATCTGAAATCCTTGTCATCGCCAACCCCAGGGCGATGACGTAGCTCCTGCACCTGAACTGCCTTTCCATGAACGTCCCCCACACACGTTATCACAACATCCATAACTGAACCCCCAAACACGCAAACCCGCTAACCACCGCTTTGGAACCTTGGCCGCAGACCACACATCCCACAGTTGCCTATTATCCTTGCCGATCGTTACACTCTACTCCACCCCCCCAATAAAACCTCTCTTGTTGACATCTGCCCTCACCCACCACGCCTTCCACAATCACTGCATAACCCTCTCTACGAAGACTACTCTGCAGTAATACTGCCTACACGAGAACAATGATCCCAACCAACGCGCGCTTACAGCCCGTACGCTGCTCACTCATCGCGCAATACCACCAAATAGCTACAATGCTTACAAACCGCTATTTATAGCTAGCGCGGCAGATCAATGACCACGCACCCTGTGATAATAAAACAATAATCAATTATCCATAAAGACTAAAGAGAATATCGAACGATATAACTCGACGTAAAAAATAAAAAATAATAACCCCTCACACGGTACACCACAAACCCCCCCCGAACTCAAAATGCTGCTTATGCACACACACAACTCCCCTATAACGCTAAAAGTGAGGAGCCATCACATCTCAAAAATTAAACCCACCCCCCCAAAAAAAACATCTGATAAATCATTGAATCCTAGTAGGCGGACTATCTCGCTCGCCATATTCGTAACACGTGCGTTAAATATGCCCCATACGCTAAAAGCAAAACTAACTAACTAACAAATTTAATTAAATAATAATATAACCAATAATACTTCAACCCCTAATCTAAAGCAAAATTAAAAATGACAAAATAAAAAAAAAAAATAGAAAAAAAAAAAGTTAGAAATTATAAACTAAAATTAAAAAGCAAAAAAAGCAAAAAAGCACAAAATATATATATATAAAAAAATAAAAATAAAAATTATAAAATAAAAATACAAAAAAACAATACTTAAAATTAATAATACAAAAAAATAAAAAAGGAACAAAAATATGTGTTACCGAATATAAGCAAAAACCTATAACAAGCCCGCTGACAACATATAATTCCCCCACCACAACTAGAATATTGTTTTGATATTAAAAAAAAAATATATTGTCCTTGAATCCTAAAATAACAAATAAGAATAAATAGCAAAATGACAATAATAACCAATCCTATATAAAGATATATACTTATTATTAAAAGAATAAAATACGATAAATCCATATTTTTCTTAAGAAAACAACTAAACTCATAATATATTACAGACGAAATAACGATTTCCTGTTGCACTACTCAGCGCACACCTCGGGTGGCCCCAACCTCACCCACTTACTTCTCGTCTTACCAATTTTCTATAAAAAGAAGCGACTCTACCCACAAACACATCCAACCCCCGAATAAGGTAACATGGTTCTATCAACACTAAATCCACAACCAAGAACAACTAAAAGCTAACCAAAACATAATTCCTTTAACTAAAATAACTGAACAAACACCACATGCGCTCTCACATAAATCTGGCATATATAGAAAAAATAACCCAACAAACACCCCTCGCTCGCACTCTCCCAAAAAAAAATACAAATAAATTAATCCACGAGTTAATGAAAAACAACTCTACCTCAGATACATACGTATAAAAAATATATATATATATAACATAATAATAATTTATAATCATTAAAGTTCTCTAAAAATTAAACTTCTAAAAAAATAATAAATAACAAAATAAAAAACCCTGCTTAACGAGTACATGAACCTTGTATATATAAACTCATTCTTCATGCAAATTGAATGCAATACACAGTTCTACAAAAAAAAAAAAAAAACCAGTATAAAATAATAACGTCTCCGTTCAGGGTCACCAGCCCGTACGTACGGAGGTCCCCGGGCAAACCTCCGTACGTACGGGCATTCGGGGTCCCGTATGGGGTCCGAACCCGACGGCGTTCGGCCCCTGCCAAAACTTATTTCGGGGCCTAAAAATAATTAGTTTTTTTCTGAGTTTTGTTTTTTGAATTCTATATGACGTGGGCTACACGCCTGTAAATTTTCAATTCATTTGGCTAAGCCAAATAAGAATTAAAAATCGCCAAAGATGGCAGTGTCAAAACGTGCTCGCCCACATATTTTTTTATTTTTTACTTTTTGTTTTCACTTTAATTCGGGGTCTAAACAATTTTATTATTTTTTGAAACTTTTTTCGTGGTTTTTCTATTATGTGAAATACACATTTGTAAATTTTCAGGGCATTTAGCTATTCCAAACAGAAATGAAAAATCGTCAAAGATGGCGTTGTCGAAAACATACTCGCGCACTCACTAAATTTAATTCTCTTTTTATTTTTATTTATTTTTATTATTAGTATTTGTTTTTCGTATTTTATTTTTATTTCAAATTCGGTAAGGAATTCAGATGTAATGCTCAGGCAAATCTTGTTTAATTTATTTTTCTCCATAACATATCTTCTTTTCAGATTTTTTTAAAGTTTTTTTTTTTTTTTTTTTTTTTTTTTTTGGTCCGCGTTCGGCCTGAATGGCCCCAAGGGTCCCGTGCGTTCGGGCGTTCGGCCCGTCCCGAACACCGGTAACCTTGATTCTGTTTTAATAGAAATAATAAAATAAAATAAAATAAAAATAAAAATAAAAAATAAAAAATACCAACTTAGCAACTAAGTAAACTGCTGAAAAAATTAAAAAAATTCTTATAAACCCCCTTCTTTCCACACCTGCAACCGCTCTGCATAACAATTAAACCAACTCAAACCAGTTCTTCTCCTATCAAAACTGTAATCTAAACCCCCATAAATGAGCACAATATAATCTTTGTTACAACTCGGTCGCCTGCACTGACCATTGCAACTGAGCGTAGCCCCAAAACAATAACATAGTTTAGATTTTCGCTCTCCCTCTCTCTCTTTCATCCAATCAAGCACTCCACTCACCCTGCACGCATGTCTAATAGTCACCTCCTTTCTATTATTTTTAAAGTCCCCCTCTTGCTTTTTTAATAAATTGAATGATCAAAACATCAGTAGACTAACTCCTTGCGCGCATGTTCGCTTTGCAGGACCAGGACAGTATCCTTGTGGGTTGGCATCTAGAATTGGTCTCCGCCATTAGACCATTCTCTGCTCTTATGCCACCCATTGTACACTACCAGATAACCATGCTGGCTATTCCTGCAGACGTCTTACGGCACGCTCACGAGGCCACTAACGGACAAGCCCCCTTCCTAATAGAGAACTTGTCATTCAGTGACTGGGCCACCGTGGTCGCAGTAATGCAAACCAGACCCCACGAACTTGCTGACAAGATCAAGGAGCTCGCCACCAACATCGCAGGCGTCTGCAAGAAGTCAGCCATCGAGAACAGGGAGGTGAACCTCATTGTTGCCAAGGCAGAGAAGGTTATCCTCGAACTCCATGGCTATGACACTGCACATCTCGACATCGCAGGACAGATTTCCAGTAATGAAAGAACAAAAACCTTTTCTGATATATACGTCAGCAGCATCGCATTGACACCTGCGGAACTTGAATATTTCAAAAGGAAGGAGGCTTTGAGAAGGGACAACACTCACTTCGACATTTCCACCGTGGCCAGAGACACCACCCACAAGTTCGGCAAGAACAACCCTTTCCTGCCCCTTGCATCTAGCACGTGGACAGAAAAAGTTGTTCAACACGTATATAACAGACTAGGAAAACTAGACACGTTCAACTATACTGCACCAATCAAAGTCGACACTTACATGGCGCTTATAGGGCTTAGTAGTGCAGATATAGAGAACTGTCGAACAGCTGCCAAGAATGGCACCATCCACTTCCCTGCAGGAAGAGCTGGCTTCGATGCAGACTTCCCACCGCTCTCCAAATTGGAGAAAGGTAAATGTCCAAATGCTGCACCAGAAAGGTATCCCCAGGTTCCCAGCAAATCTGCTAGAGCTCAAGAAATTGTGGAATGTCGGGAGACCATTCCTCAAATGTGCATGCACAGGCTGTGAAGTTAACTTCACATGGCTAGACCACATGCTCTGGTACGTCATCGACAACCTTGACAAGTTGGACCCGCAGGCACCCTCCGACAAAATCAGAATGCGAGAGTTCCAAGCCCTGCTACGCACATCTTGGAGAAAACCAATCCTGGCGCAGATCACGTTCCTCTTCATGAGGGAGTACATGATGAAGATCGTTCACCTCATCACACAGAGCAGGACCATCACCGTGGAAGAGATCCTCAACTTCGAAAATTGCAAGGACGTACCCTTCGTGCGTAAGTTCACTGCGGCGCTCTTCCCCAATGTAGAAGGTCTGCTTACGCAAACAGACAACAGAAGAAGCAGCACCATTGACTACGAAGACAACTCGCTCCGCAGATGTCGCCAAATGCGACTGGGTACTCCCGCCACTAGCTCACCCGCAACACGCACACCCTCACAACAATTCCGATCACCCACACCAAACACCGCTGCTACATGCACACCGATACACCTGTCCGCCACACCTACCCCCAACTCCAGACCACACGCTGTTCCTACCAACACAGCACCTGACACGCTACGACAACCAACACCTGTCGATCGACAACCAACCACGACGAACACTCCGCTGCAAAACAACATGCACAACACACACATACAACACGCAGAACACACCCTGCAAAACAGCAATACCACACAACATGCCTCCGCAACCTCGATACACAACAACCAGCCCTCAACACGGCCAACCCTGCAAGCCGGCACACAACCGTCCCCCACCCTCGCCTCGCCGAACCACCAGACCATCCCAACCCCTGCAACCTCCCACCTGCAAATCAATGCCTTCACCCTTGCTGCATCACAACATTCCGCTAGGAACACCAACCCCACCACCCCCAGCACAAACCATTCAAACCCCTTCTTCAACATACAGAGAACCGCCAGCACAGACACTTGCTACATACCTAACCAAATCCTCACACCCGCAACTCACATACCCATCAGCAACACCACCATACTGGCCCCAACTGCAACCTACCGCACACCAGAAACAGACAGACTTGCACGGCGAAGAGAGCAACGGCTGAGCATCGCCATGAACCCACTGCCCACCCCGCAATGAAACAATACTCGAAGAGGCAACAAGACAAGCAGACTGCAGCCATTGCAAAACAGCAAGCAGAAGTCAAAGCGCGCAAAACGCAACCAACCGCAGTGCGATCTCCACCAGCCAGACATGCACGACGTCCTCTATGTCCAAGCACAGCGACAAAACAGCTCCGCAACTCACCAGTCACCCCCGCAAACCTTGCTACCAACCACCTTACCCAGCAATCCTGCAACTGCTTCTATTGCACCATGTCGACCAGCACAAACACCGCAGATCATACACACTTGGCTTCCACCCACTGAACAACTGCTCCACCAGTGCCCGCAGAGACTTCATGACGGAAATCTACCTGGACAACAACCGGCAAACTCGGAGGTCATACAGGTGAGTAGCAATGAGATCAGCGAAGGGGAAAGACCGTAGCTACCTATCACCATCAGTTCACCATCTCCAGATACTCCGCTGCGACCGACATCGGCAATCGAAGCTCTCAGACACAACTACGGTGCCAGGAGTGCTGACTCTTCCCTACTGCGTGCCTCCAGTGATCAGACAGTTCTTGACACTGAATCACCAACTTCTGACGAATCCTGGAAGAGGGTCTGTCGCAGCCTTAGCCCCGACTATCAATTCGGCACCACGAGCATCACAAGGAGCTAGAAGTATGACTGCTCCGCTCCCACGTCTCTATTATAGTCCATGACATCTGCTGACACGCAATACGGAACTCAACCCACTTCCTAATATCTACAATAAAGACTGTAGAAGTATTGACCTTCCAGTAACAAGGAATGGCTTAGCACTGCTTAGCTAAATATATGTATTGAGCATCTCGTCTAATTAGGAAGTAAAAGCCCTTACTATGACGGGATAAGCCGACTACCCTGCAGTTAGAACTAGCCAAACCTCTTGCTCCCTGAAGACTAGACACCCTCCTTGCTAGGTTCTCCACTATATTGCGAACTACCGCCGGCCATAAGACAACTCGGTGTGCACCTAACTCCCTCGCCATAGTGTTTTCTCCCATGGGTCATAGTTTCCAACTTAGTTATGTGATAGCCTTGATCTAGGTGCCAACGACACAGAACAACCGGTTGTAACCATGGACCCGAATATGGAAACTGCTCTGCAGATAGATTTGGCCCAATAACTGGATCATCTGGAGGTTAAAAATTGGTTTCCCCCAATTGTTTGATAAATGAGTATTATCATTAATAATTGTTGCTTTTCTGAAAAAATTCATCGCTCCACATGACACGACATGCCTCTACCCCTGTATACCCGACACCACACAATGCCAATATCCCACCGGCACGCCCCGCTCCCACACCCTCCTAACCAAACTCTGCTCCCACATCTGCCTATACCCTGACTACATGTCCCCTGGCCCTCACATTACCTTCTAACCACACCCCTGTCTGTACTATCCGCAAACCTGTAACACCCCAACAAAAATACCCATGGGTCCAACTCCAATCTCTCTCCCCTTTTCCCCTTCCCCACTTCCACCACTACCTTATACATCGACACTCAAGACCCGAAATCTGCATACCAAGCACACTGCTACATGCCTGCTGATTGCCTGTTTTTTCCTATGTGCAAGGCCCCCGACTACAGACAATGGAGGATGGAAGGCTTGGCTGGAAAAACAGCTGACAGAATAATAAAATCATAATACCCTGCCACTACCCAAATCGATTGATGGACACACTGAAATTCAAGAAAATCTTCGAAAGAATCCTAGGAAAACACAACCCCAACGTCGTCTCTATCTTGGATACATGCACGTTCTCATGGACCTACAACGACCACATAGCTAAAGCGTTATATAAACCTGCTGCCATCTTCCGAGACTTCGAACTCGACAAATGGCTAAACATGCTGCAAAGCAGGTGCTTCTGCCAACAGCAACGATTTGCAAAATTTACTAATGACCTCCCTCCTAACCTCCTGCCATAAGAAGAAGAAGCACACGTCATCACACTAGACACGAGCATAATTACCAACAGGGAACTCCAAACAATGATCCGCAACGGTCTAAACCACATTCCCCCAGTAACACCAAAGAAAAAAAACATCACTGCAGCAACCAAGTATGGGAAAACTTCACAGACACACTGAAAAAACATGGTTTCCCCTTCTCTGACAACCATAAAAAAAAAGCGTTTGTAGAATTCACTGAAATCGTCAAACTTGCCACTGTTGATTGCCTACCACAGAGAGAAATCAACCTACATAGCTACGCCGTTAAACGCGAAACCGACTTCCTAACTAAGCACTTTTATATATCCGGGGGCTGACAAAGCACCCAACACACCCGTCATCACATGCATAAACTTAATTAGATATCTAGCACTGAAGAGACTCTCGAGTCCAGACTTCAAACCTTTCACTATCTCTGTTAATGAACTACTTGCCTACCTAGAAGAACAACTTACCTCAACATTCCCAGATCTCCTGACCGGTAAAAGAACACTACCCTACCTCTTTGCCACATACAAGAAACACAAAAACTCCTTCCGATGGCTGACTAACGCATCAGATGTCATCTCCTCCCCCTGGCCAACTTAGCAGCCGTCATCCTCATGGCACTTATCAAGGTCGTTAAAACCCACTGCGGAGACCTCACACAACAAACCCACTCAGATACTGGTTTTAAAGTACCATATTGGTGGCCCATCGACTCGACATCCAACTACGTCTACAACCTACCCCCGCAGGTAATATCCGTTTTTTCAGCAGACATAACGAGATATTATGAAACCATCCCCACCAACGACACCCCAGATGGTCTACCAAGTGCAATCCAATTTTTCACAAAACTGACCTTTCAACAAGCCAGGAAGAAATATGGAGTTGGTGTGCATCTTGCCTTCAAATTCTACTACGCTGGTGACCAATTAACCCCCACCTGTAACTGGTATAAAAACCCACCCAATGGCTACCTATCCCTAGTTGACACTGTCGTTAATACAATCGACAGGTGGCTTATTACCAACGCATACACTTCGCTCGACAACAAAATTTGGAAACAGACACTCGACATCCCTGTGGGCGTCAGCTGCTCACCAGTATGGTGTAACATTTACTTCTTCAAATACAAATATAAGTTTATGAAAAAAATGACCTATAAAAGCAACATACATCTCCTGCACCTATTCCAGTATGTCTTCCGATACTTCGACGACTTTCACATCCTTAACAAACCAAGAATAAATGAATTCCTCAACTTTGGCATCTCCATCACAAGAAGTCGATACTTCCTATACCCCCTGAAGCTAATTACACATAACGAACAAACCATTGAGAAAACACAGATCAATGATAGACTCATTGGAACCAAAGCAAACTTCCTAAACACAACCATCCAAATTACCAATACGCATCCAAGAATTAAACTTCCCCATCACCAGATTCATCCAAGCACATTCTAATAGACGCATGCAGCAAGCCCTTAACCTGATTATACCCCAAATCATTACAATCATGGTGGTCGAATCTGAACCTCAGCACGCGGCAATCGAAATAAAGCAAGCAATCTTCAATCTCACACACAATCGTTTCTCTAAGCACATATTATTTGGAATCACCAAAAAAATACTCCAGCACCCTGAAAAATACTAGTCGTTTCGCTGCTGCCCCCTAACTGTACTACAGATACTCCAATGCACCCTCAACCAACGCTACGAATAGTCAAACTGTATTGCTAAAAAATTAAAGATATGAACATCGACATACATGTGTGTGTGTAAGCCAAAATTTGGCTTGGTTTGGATGGAAAACCTACCCCATCCGGGGTAGGTCCTAAATCCTCTCTCCATATATATAAAAAAGAGGAAGACCTACCCCACCCGGACCTCCATCACGAGGGAACGGGGAGGGACACACACACACACACACACACACATACACACACACACATATAAGTTTGATATAACATTGGAATATTTAAGATAATATATTAACTTTCTAATGATAAAAAAAGAAAAGGTTTTTTAATATATAATGATTTTTTTATACAATGATTTTTTTATTATGGCTAGGTCTATATAACTAATTAAAACTAAAAAACTATAAAAATAAAAAATAAAAAATAAAAATAAAAAACAAAGAATAATAATAATAAAAAAAAATAATAATAATAATAAAATAAAAAATATATATTTTTAAATTAATAAAAATAACATAAAAATAAAAATAAGAATTAATTAAAGTAATAAATAATGGAAAATAAAAAATAAAAAAACCCTTAAAAAATAAAAAATTAGAAAAATAATAATAAAAACACTTTAAAAAAGATAATATAAAACTGGAAATACATAAATACCTCCTCGACTTTTTTTTTTTAATTCAAATATGCCAAAAAACAACTGAAAAAAAAAAAATAAAAAAATAAAATAAAAAATATAGCTCACCCATGCCCCAGCCAACGATAGCAATAGTTAAACTTTGTTGTTAAAAAATTAGAGATATGAACGTCAACACACATGTGTGTGTGAAAGCCAAAAATTGGCTTGGTTTGGATGGAGGACCTACCCCGGGTGGGATAAGTCCTGAATCCTATATACAAAAAAAGAGAGACCTAACCCACCTGGACCTCCATCACAAGGGAACGGGAAGGGACACACACATACACATACACACACACACACACACATACACACACACACGCACACACATATAACATTAGAATCATTAAGGTAATATATTATTTTTTTAATAAAAAAAAAGTTTTTTTATATATAATGATAATTTTTCACCTTAAGAAAATTTTTATGGCTAGTTCCAAGGTCACCAGCCCGTACGTACAGAGGTCCCCGGGCAGAACTCCGTACGTACGGGCGTTCGGGGTCCCGTACGGGGTCCGAATCCGACGACGTTTAGCCCCTGCCAAAAATTATTTCGAGGCCTAAAAATAACTATTTTTTTCCGAGTTTTGTTTTATGCGTTCTCTATAACGTGAGGTACATGCCTGTAAATTTTCAAGTTATTTGGCTAAGCAAAACAATAATTAAAAATCGCCAAGTGCTCGCCCACATATTTTTTCACTTTTTACTTTTTGTTTTCAGTTTAGTTCGGGGTCTAAACAATTTTATTATTTTTTGAAACGTTTTTAGTGGGTTTTGTATTATGTGAAGTACACATCTGTAAATTTTCAGGGCTTTTAGCTATGCCAAAAAAAAAAAAAAATCGCCAAAAATAACGGTGTCGAAAACATGCTCGCACACTTACTAAAAAGACCGCGCCAGCGCTAACAGCGTTAATGCTGCGCTAGCGCTAGGCGCCTGTCTTGGAATTTTTGAAGATGTCGCTGCGCCACTTAGGTGTTGGCGCCGTCGGGGGCAGTGCTCGGGCAATGGGGTATCGCACGGGTGCTATCAAAAATATGGTGGTGCCTAGCCAGAACTCGTTGATGGGGTGGCGGGAGTGTGGGGGATAGAGTGTGTGGACACTGTGGGACACGCTGCTAGAGGGTCTAAAGAGCCCTTGCTATGGGCCAGTCCCGGCTGACAGGGTTAGCATCCTGCTCGAACGAGGAAGGATGTCGGTAGATGTGTGGACGTTCGACGGACGAGATACTTGCATTGCGATTTGCCAGAGTTTCAGCTGATTTTCTACTGATTCACACCTAATGCAACTGATTGAGAGTTGAGGCCTTCGGTCTTTGATACGGAGGTGTCGTGGGAATATCCTGCCTATGAGCAATCATGGGCGGCCTGTGGCGAAAATCTGTGAGAACGGTCGATTGTAAGGGTTTCATCTGCAACATAGCTGGATACCCTTGAGGACTGTGATTACAGTGATTCAATAAGTTTGGTGATAGAAATAGTGATTTGTTAATAGATTGTTGTTTAATTGTTGTTTCTAGCGACCGCTGTCTCTTGTGAATAGGAACCATGTTCTTAGGGTTTCCTAGTTTGCGTGAGTCACTACTGCCTTCTGTAGTTTTATTTTCAATTGATGATAGAAATAGTCACTTGTTAGTGTTCTTTGGCGAAACTATAGTTTCTTTTACGTTTGCTGTTGTTTCTATTCCTTGTAGATAATAGGAATTGTGTTCTCCTAGTAATTGTGATGAACGTGGGGCTCTTTCTATGTTAGTTGCCTCCTGTGCTTCTTGTGGATAATATGAACTATGTTTACTAGTGCTTTCCAGATTGTTTTCAGTTATGGATATAAATAGTTGTTTGTTATTGTTTTGTTGGTGAAATTGTAGCTTCTTCTACGTTTGCCGTTGTTTTAATTCTTGGAGACAATAGGATTATTGTTTTGAATGATTGTAGAAATATTGTTGTACCTGATATCTCCTGTGATTTAGTTTGAGTGTAGAAATAATGTTTGTTTCGAACCATGAAAAATAAGAAATAGTATCTGTTCCGAATGACAAACTTGGTAATCTAAAAAAAAATAGGTTATGTTACTAGGCTGTTTACTTTGATTTGCTTTGTTGCATATGTTTGTCTTGCAGGCTACTGGTTTATGGAAGGCTAACATTTCGTTGTTTTTAACTTTGTTTACGTAGTTGGTTGAATGGTTGTGTTTCGTTCTGTTTCTGCAGACTGGACATGCACCCGGCCGGAGTAGTAGGGAGTAAGCTTGGGGCTGTTAAAGCTTTGTGTGGGACGCCGGGCCCGTTTCCCGGCATTATTGAAAAAGAGAAGCCGTGTATTCGTGTTAAAATAATAATAATAATAATAATACTTTTTTTGTTTTATTTATTTTTATTATTAGTATTTGTTTTCCGTATTTTATCTGCATTTCAAATCCGGTAAGGAATTCGGATGTAATGCTCAGGGAAATAAGATTTAATTAAATTAATAAATAATAAATAATAAATAATAAATACTAAAAAATAAAAATAAAAATAAAAATAAAAAATATATAAAATCGTAAATACATAAATACCTTTTCAACTTTTTTATAATTAATAAGTCTGCCAAAAATAAACAAAATAAAAAATACAGAAAATTAAAATGAAAATTAAAAGTATAGTCTACCCACACTTATCACACACACAGAAACCAACAACGACATTATATGACTTATACAGGGACAAACAGCACATACCACTCGTGATAAACACAAACATAAAAATAGAGACCCTCTCTCGCATACCCCTTCGGTTATGGGACTCACCATATGATAATGAACCAAGAAGACCATCCCTTAATCACGCATACTACGCGAAAAATTATCCTCCCTTAAAAACTTAAAAAAAAAAAAAAAAAAAAAACATTACAAAAGACAAACACGGAAACGCTGTACCTGGCCAAAAACGAAAACAACAACACTCGTAACGACAACAGAGAAACCTGATGAACCACGTACGGCACTCGAACGAAACGCCACCACCACCCAATGACAAATTCTCGCTGACGCTACGACCCGAATACCACCATAGCGAGAACATGATACGACGCTATGGACAAGACAAAACAAAGACAAAAACTTGGAATCTACGGAGAAGCATAACATACACTGCGCTCTATGGCGACAACTGCATACGTACCCCCCCACACAACGCTAAGCCCTGGCACAATAGTACTATGCTACCTAGAGCGCCAATCCCATGAACCCCCGCCCAAGAACCCCCTTCGATCCCCTCTACCACTGGCACCTCCCTCCTGACCATCGCCTGCTCCATGGCACAATGCATATCCCACTACAATGCACACAACCCCTCCCTAATCCCAAAGCTCACCCTACGTCCCCCTCCCCTGACCCAGCAGTTGATCCATACTATTTATATCCCTCCACAACCCTGTACTACCTTCTTTCTGCGCTCGCCCACCTGCTATGGTGTATGCAAACGAGCTTTTGCAACATGCACTGCTACCGGTACTGCACGCACTTCGCACACGCGTGCAACCAGGCAAGCTGAACTGGTCTCCCTGGCTGGTAAGGCATAGTATTGTGCCTCCTACATTGCGCTTCGTGCAACGTAGCGCCTGATCATAGCCCTTCGTGCAACATAGCGTCTGATCACTCGCCTGCCATCGTCGGATTCATCTATGGAGGCGACTGATATGACTGCTTCACCAACCTTGACCCCTCAGGTATGGATCCTTTGTGTCCGAACCTCTAACTGCCTGTGCTATACCTCTTAGAAATCTCTAATTACCTTCCCCACACCGCTATGCTAACAGGAGCCTAACGACTAATCCCTCTGATGAGCTGCTATGGGTAATAGGCGGCGAAAAGCGCACTTAAGGGTGTGCATCCCCCCTACGGCTGGGTTCTCATACCCATTCCTAACCCTGCTAACCTACTAACTCTAACTTTGCTAACCTGCTCCTTATCTAATTTGTGCCTTGATGTATCCTGTACCTAACTACTCCCCTTCCCCCCCTTGCCTAACATTGGACGTAATGACAATGTCTAGTGTCTCATTCTGAATGGGATGGTCGTGTTTTACACACACCCCGTACACACACACACACACACACACACACACACACACACACACACATACACACACACATACAATCAATCAATCAATCAATAAATCAATCACGGTGATTGATTGATTGATTGATTATGTGTGTGTGTGTGTGTACGTGTGTGTGGGCTAGTGTTTTGTCACCGTTCCAACAAACCAAACATATGAAGGGATTTTTTTTAATTTCCATTTCCATTTTTTTTTTTTTTTACCCCTTCCAGTAGATGTCACAAAAAAATATTCAAAATCATAGGCGAGTAGAGATGTTTTTTATCTACACGCCCATATTTGTTTTTGTTTTTTTTGCTTATTTTCAGGCCCCGAAAAAATTCTCGGGGTTTCATGCCCACACTCGGCCGCGGGCTGTAAAATGGCCCGCGGTCGCGACCGCGAGTGATACATAGGTTTCAACGGTATCACGAGGAAAATGTTGCAAGAGGACAACTCCAATGTCAGTGGTGACGTAGAAATGTTGGAACGGGTCAACGATCTTGAGGGGTACATTTGGTAAGGTTGACGTTAAATTTTTGCTCCCTAAGGATAGAGAGGACTTTACAAAGGTGCTGAAGGTGCGACTCGAAGGTGGGGCTATAGATTAGAATATCATTAAGGTAGACGACGACACAAACTTTGAGGAGGTTGTGAAAGATGTGATTCATGGTGGATTGGAATGTGGCGGGGGCGTTGGTGAGTCCGAAGGGCATCACGAGGAACTCGTAGTGCCCGAAGCCAGAACGGAATGTGGTTTTGCGGGTGTCCTCCTCGCGGATGCGGATCTAGTGGAAGCCGCTGCGGAGGTCAATCTTGGTAAAATGTTTGGCTCCATGGAGATGATCAAGAAGCTCGGAGATCCGAGGTAGGGGGTACGTGTTCTTGATCGTGATCCGATTCAAGGCGCGGTAGTGTGTGTACATCCTAAGTTATGAGGTTCCGCCTTTCTTTACAAAAAGGTAGCTTGTATCGAATGGGGAAGAGTTTGATCAATCCTTTTTTAAGGAGTTCAATGAGGTGGTGTCCTCGGAGGCGATGTTGTGGAAGAAGTGAGGGCGGGGAGGGGCCGATGTAAGTCCGGTCTTGTAGGGGGAGAAGATGCGGTCGATTTGGAGGGCACGCGTGAGGAGGTCGGTGAGGGTCATGGGTGGCTCACGAACAAGGGTTGCCGATAGGTCCTTGTGGCATACCCGCTTGATGAAGGATATGAATGCGGTCTCACTGACGACGTTGATCGAGATGTGCTGATGAGGAGAGCAGACGTATTGAACAAAGCGGTCGGTCGGTCCGTTTTGAGGGAGCTGACATAATTGGTTGAGGTAGTCGTCAACTATCTTCTATGGGTGGAAGGTGGAGGTGATCAGGGTGGCCCACTCAAGGAAGGAGTGGCGTGGAAGACCGACATGCTGGCGGTTAGTCATTTCTGCGTGCCACCATCGAGAGAGCGCCATCCAGTAGTTTGGTGTCGGCAATGGGGAACAACTGGACGACTGGGACGCTGTGGAGGGAGAAGCTTTGCTCGAGTTTGGCAAAAAAGTGGAAGAAGTCCTCATGGGGTTGGCCAGAGAAGGTGGGGATCTAGTTGACGCGGAATGATGGAGGGATATTGCCGACTTTGGTGGAAGTAGCGGTGAGGGCGTTGAAGTCAAGGGTAGGGGAGGAAGAGTCGATCTGGGTGAAATCGTCGGGGGGGTTGGTGGGAATGAGCGTGTTTTGTGAAAGTAGTGGAAGAGCGGGGAACAGGGCGTGTGGTGTAGAAATGATCTCGATATAGGTGGGTTGGGTGGAAGTGATAGTGGATGAAGTCAAGAGAGGCTTTGACTGGGGGGGAACGGTCGACGACTGTGTGACAGCGGGGGTTGTCGTCTTGGGTGGTGGGGTGACCATGGTGGAGGTGGTAGTGGATGAAGGCGGGGGTGTGGATGATGTACTAGTGGAGAGGGCGGTGAATATGGAGGTGGAGGATGGAGGAAGGGTGGTGGCACCCAAGGTGGGTGGGGTGGGGGACGTGGTGGTGACGATCTCGATGGGGGGGGGTTGATTTTCGATGGTGGTCACGGGAGTCGAGATTGTGGAGACAAATGTTTTTATGTCCTCGATGGATGAGTGGATGGATGTCACCATGTGGAGGAGTGTCGCGAGATCAGTGGCGGTATCGGGTGCTGGTGTTTGCTTGCCTGTGAGGTTGCGGGCGATGCTGTGGACAGAGTCGATGCGGATGTCGGACATATCAATGCTGAATGATTGGGTCATGGTGGGGGAGGAAGCGGTGGTAGCGGCGGATGAGGTGTTAGCAGCAGATGAGGTGGAGGGGCAGTAGCGGTGGCAGCGTCGACCGTTGCGCGTTGAGAGCTCCTGGTTGTTCGTGTCATGCTCAGGGGGGGGTTCCTATTTACAAGGGTAGAGTAACATCAATTGATTTAGTGATGAAGGTAATTTCCAAATAGAATTCGCAAAAGAAGAATTAATTTTGAATAAATTATTTCAAAATTAAATTTTTTCGGAATTAATTCGAGTGTATTTTTCAAGAAAATTCGAAAAAGGTTTGAGAGAGAAAACGGATTTTCAGGAATTTTCAAATGAAGAAAAATAATAATTAATTTCGAGAAGAAAGACAAATTCTGACTAAATTTATTTGGATATGTGTTCGGGGTAAAATTTTACAACAAAGGAAAAAAAATTCGAAAAAGGATGATTAATTTCGCAATCAGACTCACTTTTGCATGCATGTAAATAGGTAGCACACCAAACTGGCGACAAGTGCCCACTCAAAGCTCAAAGATATGGTAATCAAGAACACAGTTCAGATACAAGCTTGTTTTAGATGGCTATGGCGCATCAATGCCTGCACAGCTCTCTATTCGTCACTTGCTCAACTCTGTTGTTCACACACACTCAACTCAGGATCACCCTGGATATCCCACATGCGACACATTGTCTCACACACACACACACACACTACACTTGTCTACCACCTACGGCGGCTATGGTCGCGCAGCCCTGCTGACTATGGCCACTCAACCTCAACTCTGCCCACTTCGTCTTTGGGCGCTCTGCAGACCACCTCGCACAAGTCGCTCAAACAACACTTCCGCATGGCATACGCAGAAATGAATGAATGGTTGGGCGCTGCCTCGTGATTTATACTTCTGTAGCTCGTTGGTACGCCCCTTTCCCATGCCCCTGGTGCACACAGTCCCACACGGTACTTGCTTGACTGGACTGTGACTAACTGGGATGGGTAATGCTGACTGCATGGGTTTGCACTGCCAACTCGATTCAGTCGCACCGCCAACGTACCGCCGTTGGACTCACCTCTTGCCCACTTGCCTCTGTCTAAACGTGAGCAAACTTCGAAAGGCCACTACTGGGATCTTCCGGAAGGTTGGGGACTTGGCCTTTCAAACACTGTAGCAACTACGACCTTGACCTTTCAGGACTGTAGCAGCTACGACCTTGACCTTTCATGACACCTACAGCTATGACCTCTAGGCCTCACTAAGACCTCTATCCAATAGGTCTACAGATCGAACCCCTACCAACTATTGTGAATACACATGTCACGGGTTCAACTCTAGGGTTCGACACAGATACTATACACGGGCAAGGTAAGAATTAGGGATCAAACCCTGGGATCCGCATTCGCTACTGCTAACAGGTGAATACCGTTTCACTCCCGCCGGCCTAAATTCGAGGTCCTCGGAGAATAATTCAATCCAAGATCGGATTTTTACCTTTATTTTCCCTCTCGTAGGCTCTAACTACGTCGAAAGCGGTCTTTAGAAGTTCAGTTGTCCTCGAGTTCCTGATCAGCAAATCGAACTTTATACTATTTCTGTGGACGACCTCTACCTCAGTCTGAATACGTCTTCACCTACAATGCCCTCAATACCATACCTTTCATCCATGTCCGAAGGGATCATGGATCTTCTTGATGGAAACTGTTGGCTTGTGACACACGACAACAACTTTGACGCATGAAGCACAGGGTAGGTGTGGAGGTGCGCTGGGATTTCTATCATGTAGGATGACCCATCCTCTCTGCCCTTAACTTCTAGAACTGGCCACGGTCCTCTTTATGCGGGCAGTAGCTTCTGCGAAATGTTCTCCTCAAGAGCAAATTCTTTGGACTTGACCCAGACAAGGTCGCCTACTTGGAACTCTGACGGGCGGCGGTGCTTATTAGCCTGTTCTATCATTCTTTGTTGAACCTTCCTGAGGTTCTCAACGACGGTAGCTAATTCCTTCTCGTGCTGCATCGCAAACTCCCTAGTACCGGGCGGTAGCCTATGAATCTGATCCCGGGTAAGTCCTTCAAACGGTCTGCGTGGTCTAAAGGACTTGTGCAACTCATTGGGAGTACGACAGGTGGCTAAATGCACGCTATTGTTATACGCACTGGCTACCTTGGGCAACATCTCATCCCAGTTGATCTGATCCGGTCTAATATACATGCGCAAAACTTGTCGCAGGATTTTATTCATTTGCTCAGTCTGACCGTTGGTCTCTGGGTGACGGCCAGAGGACATCAACAACTTTGACCCGTAGACTTTCATCAATTCCTATCAGTTTTGACTAGTGAACCGGGTGTCTCTATCGCTAATTATAGACAGAGGAATTTCGTGATCACTCACCCGATGGTAAAAAAACTTCTGGATTACTAAGTCAGTACGTGCCTTTGCAGGCAAAGGAACAAAAACTGCGTATTTACTAAGCCTATCAACTATAACCATGACTTGGCTCTTTCGATGTATGCTCTTAACACTAGCATCCATGAAGTCAATGAATCTCCAGTCTGGTCAGGAATAGGCAAGGGTCGAAGAAGACCTAGAGGGGCATGCGTAGTTGTCTTATTCAGACCTTGCAACTGCGAGCGTACTCAATGCAATCGGCCTTCATTCCTGGCCAAGTGTACGCCTGCATTAGGTTGGCTAAAGTCTTTCGCCAACCGGAATGTCCCTCCATGTGGTGTCATATGCCTAGGATCAAACTACGTCCCCTCAGTGGTCCCCGACACTTTGTCCCATCGGTGGCCCCCAACACTTTGTCCCGTCGGTGGTCCCCGACACTTTGTCCCGTCGGTGACCCCCGACACTTTGTCCCATCGGTGGCCCCCGACACTTTGTCCCATCGG